CCGAGAGGATTACCTACCTTGGTGAAGCTGGAAGAGGGTATACCCCACGTTGAGCTACGATCTTGCTGCGTAGCTACGCGTTTCTCATACCAAGTGTCTCCGGGACTCTCTTTCTCTCTTTCTCTCTCTCTCTGTGTCTTTCTCTCTCTCTAGTGAGAAAGGCCTTTCGTTCTTCGTTGTAGCAACGCAAACGCCGCTACGAGCTTCTACAAGCTTGCTTGCGTGAGCTGCCTTTTCTAGCACGTTCTGAGTAAAGGGGAGAGAAAGGACGTGTCGCTCGCTAGGAGTCACCGGAAGCCCGAAACTTATGACACGTGAAAAGGGAGCCACCCGTAGGCTACTCTTGTTTCTCGACGATGGAAGTAAGCGTTCTAATTATCAAGACGACGATTTACTTCTAAGTCGACGATTGGCCGATTTTTATATCACGCTTGAATATCTACCGTTCTGTTATTTTATGTTTATATATTTTTGGAATTATTTCTTTTTCATTATTATCTTGATTTAACGATGCACGTGTCACATACGAATGAGGAATAAATAATATTTATTTCATTGTCACAAAAAGTTCTTGCACTCTTTTCTTAAGTTACTATTAACTAAAAACTATTATACATGTAAAAGTTATTTAAAAAAAGTGAGAAACTTTTGGATGATTTGATATGAATAATAATCCAAAAAATTAGTGACATTTAAAATGAGATGAACGAAATCGAATAAAATAAAATTAAAAATAAATTCTAACGAATATCAAAATCAATAGACAAATTAAATTATACAGCCTATACGTAATACATCGAAAACCGAATTATCGTAAATATCTTTTGGCAAAAAGAATGATCGACGATTCGACCTTTATCGACAAAAAGTTGCATGAGGGAGCGCTTTAGAACGTAAGCCTAAGGGAACATCTTATAGTAGTGCATAAACACTGCCTGTAGGTTCCTCTTCTTCTTCTTCTACTTCGTGCTTCAGAGCAATTCACTTACTTTGATTTGATTGGTCTTCGCGTATGATAGGAGCTTTCGCCTATACGAGTTTCAAACAGGAAGCTCGGAGGGAGGCCGAAAGGAGAGCACTGGGAACTCCAAAAGGGAGCTTCGGAATCGTGTTTTGCGAACCGCGAACAGAGTTATACCGCTAAATCCCCGCCAGCAATCAACGTATTGGCTGTTCTTATTAGAGTTGGCAACAACCAAACTCTCCCCATACTCCTCGCAAAACCCCATCCCCATCGACTTTCCATTTATGCTCGAATACTCCACGAAACTCCCTTCCTACTACCGTACGCTAAGGATCCCTTTTCTGCTTCCTAGATAATTTCAACCGAGTTGAAAAAAAATTTCTGATTACCCGGCGAAATGTCACGGTCGTCCTTAAATCTTTTACTTTGTTCCAAATCTTTATATTTTCTATTTTCCTCCGCCCTCGTTCGACAATCAATCGTTTTATTCATTCGTTGTATTTCTCTCTTAAAGAAATATTGCTAACACAATTCTAAACGTTTGACGAGCTGTTTTAACATTTTTTAAATCAATTTATTACATTTTTACTATTAAAGCATAACTTTGTGGGCGAGTCATTTTATTGACAAAATTTCTTCCAAAATCGAGTTAAGAACACGAACCATTTTGAGCATATGTTCGCTCGTTCATAAAAATGAAGACGAAAAAGGGAAAAAACAATATAATATATATATATCATATATAATGATTCGTATTTCTTGTACCTCTCTCTTTTTCTCTCTTTCTCTCTCTCTTTCTCTCTCGCAAAAACTTTTTCGACGTAGATACGTCATCGACTAAGAAGAACAATTCGTCGGACGAAAGTTTCGTTCGGCTGAAGTTTCAGACGAAATACGAGGAAGCATTTTTCAAGAAAGGCGTGAGTAACGACCGAAATATTTTCCTTCTCCCTAAGCGCGTGCTCTTCTCTTCTCCCGTTTTTCTTATCCACAACGAACGCTCCTCACCTCTCTCTTTCTCTCTCTTTCTTTCCCTATACCCTTCTTCTTTCCTTGCCTTCCCTAAAGGTTCTTCTCCGGATGAAACACGTTTCACGGGCTCAGCATAAAACGTATCCACCCCCGTTGGTTAAACAGCTACGCACGCTTCTTCTATACGCTTGTACAGGAGCATGGCGAACTTAGGATTCCCCTAACTTCGTTTCATCTTCCGATATATCCCAAAGGGCCGAACGAGTGAACTTGCGGAGCTTGATCGAATTTTGGTGATTCTGAAAGATCTGGCAGAAGAACAGAAAGCCAGACATATGAAAGTGATGATGCACTGTTCAGGAAACAGATCTCTAGAATGTTAAATAGAAATTAAATTTAAGATAATATGAGGTAAGTTTTTCTAAACAAAAAAAATTCTAAATAGAATAAACGATCGAAAAAGGTATTTCGCATTTAAGGGAAAACAGAAGGAAGTTAATGGGATTTTCATATTTTTCCTTTTTCAAGGATAACACTAGAAATGTAAACCGCTATACCTAATAATTTCTCCGTGAATGCACGTGCGATCATACGGACGAGATAATCGGTGAGGTTAAAGGGAGAAACGAAGATGGAAATTTCGCGAAACCTCGAAACTGGAAGAGACCAGAAGAGAGAAAGGAAGGAAGGAAGGAAGGAAGGAAGGAAGGAAGGAAGAAAGGCACGCGCGATAAGAGACGTGATCCTCCGAGGTTGGTAAGGAGGGTTGGAGGAAGGGCATGAAAAGCACGTCGCATTTTCTACTTTGCGGAAACGTACGAGGGCAGCTTAATTGGGGTAGGGAGGAGAGGTGGCGTGCTTTTATTTATAAGTTTGCTCGAGTCCATCGAGCCCTCACTAGAAAGCGGCGGTGCTTTTCAAGGAAGAAAGGCAAAAAGAAAAAGAGAAGAAAAAAGGGAGAGGAATCGACGAAGGCCTCACGGTCCGGGAGAAACAGTGGAAGCGTATGACAAATAACCCTTATAAACGTTCCTCCATAATTCGAGTTACCCCCTCGACCGTGGGTTGCGAAGTTTTGCGCGAGTTGACGCGCGCAAGAACCTGGAATGAGAATATCGCGAAGTTACTCAGGGAAGAGAAATCAAGCGAGAGTTTGGGAGAGAAACGGGGGTGAGTTTGGATGGTGGACCACTTGATTACCTAGCGATAATAAACATCAAGCCGATATGAACTCGGTTTGACCACTGCTCCCTCATACTATCTACTCACTGAAACCAACAGAGAGAAAGAGAGAGAGAGAGACAGAGAGAGAGTGGACACATGAGCGCGCGCGCGCGTCTGTTGTGCGCCAGCCAACTGGCACGTAGTAGATACGTACGGGAGAACGGTCGTTTCGTCGACCATAGATAGCCGGGGATACGGTTGTAAATATGATGCGTTTATTGGCTACCGTGATTCGTGACCACCGAGAAGAGAGAGAGAGAGAGAGAGAGAGAAATGAAGAGGGACTCGAGAGAGTTGCGAGTTCGTGTCATTGCTGTGCTTTCGTACGATTAACTTTAGTCCCGATGATTTCGAGACCTATGGCCGGATTACTTATGATCTATGAAAAGGTGACCTACATGAATCATGAAAGAAGAAATAGCGGAAAAGAAAAAATTCGAAAAAAAATAGAAACGTCTAGTTTTATCTTCTAACCATTTTTGTCTATTTTCCACTCTAATAATCAATTATTAAATAAATCTGTTCAGCAATTTCTGTAAGTATTGATTCTGGTAGATAAGTTAACTAAATGATTTCAAAGTCTTTTTTTTTTCGAAAAAATGTAAAAAGTGACGACTCGTTTGCTCGCTCGTGCACCGTGTCAACGATAAAAAGAAGTATATACATGTTTTATATAGGTGTAGGTAGCACGTCGGTAAACGATAGTATTATAAACGTTTATGCGACTCGATATAGACCGTATGTGCAAGAGTCGACGTAAAAGGCTGCCTGCTTATGGAGAGAAGAAGCTTGAAAGAACGAGAGAGAAAAAAGAGAAGAAAAGCGAGACGGGGTGGGTTGCTGTAGGACGGTCGTGCCGGTGCGGGGGAGGTGAAACGGGAGGGTTTTTACGAGGCAGTAACGGCCGATAAGGTGAGCTTGCGCCTCCTCCCCCCCTTCGAAGCTTATTCCGCTACTGTACCCAAGTGGATGCTCAAAGTTCTCTCTTTCTCTCTCATCCAACTCTCTTTTACTTTCTATTTTCTTTTCTTTTCTTTTCTTTCTCTTTCTCTCGACTTTTTTGATCCTTCTCATGCTCCTAGTCGTTGTCGTCGTCGTTGTCGTCCCATGAACGACTTCACCATTGCTTTATTTAAAACCGTTTACACCTATCGCTACAAACTTCTCAAAGAAACTCCCGTTTGCGGTAACATCGACGTATCCAAGATTTTTTATCGTCGTTTTTTTTCTACAATGTTGTACACGTACAATTGAGTTTAGTTATGTTCAAATAAATCAATCGTCAATAATGTGAAATTGATTAAAATTAATTCGAACATTTTCATTTAGAAAAAGAAGTAGTTTTACTGCTATTGTCTTATAGTATTATAGTTTATTTAATAATTTATATTTAATACTGACTAATATATACCCAAAATTAGCCTAAAATGCAATTGTAATTTAACAGTTTAAATATTTGTAAAGTATAGAAATGGTTCTACAGGTTTCAAATTAAAATCACATAATCATAAATTCCGTACAGTGTTTTACTAATTTTTTATCATTCAGAGCAAGATTTCTCAAAATGTTGATCGGGACCTCATATGAGGTTGCATAAATAAGCTTGAGGTTCGTAGACGTTTCATGTTTAAAATATTAGCTCGTGTAAAAGGGATCGTCAAGTGGAAAGATTTGAAAGGCCGTAATTTAGAATATGAGAGGTAGAGATTACTGCATAATTTATAATAATTACAAATTAATTGTGCATAATTATATTTGAAGATAATGGTAATAATATTAAAGATAAGGAAAGTAAATAAAGATTGTGTCGCTGATAAGGCCCTTTCGGTGGATGTTGCAGGAGCGAACGGACTGCGCAGGCGCGGCCGACAGACCTACACGCGTTATCAAACGTTGGAACTGGAGAAAGAATTCCACACAAATCACTACCTCACCAGGCGGAGGCGGATCGAGATGGCACACGCGTTATGTTTGACGGAACGGCAGATCAAGATATGGTTTCAGAATCGACGGATGAAGCTGAAGAAGGAAATACAGGCGATAAAAGAATTGAACGAGCAAGAAAAGCAAGCGCAAGCGCAAAAAGCAGCGGCAGCGGCCGCGGCTGCGCATCAGCAACAAGGCGGCGGTGGGGGTCCCGAGGGGGGTAACTAGGGGTACGCCCTACACCGTAGCCCCCCTGACCACCCCACCGCGAATCCACACCACCCTCTGTTAGCGCCTCAATGTACACAACTATACTAAGGTGAGCTTGATATTTATTATTTTTTATACTACCATAATTCATGAGCAAATAGTATTCATCTTTAATTTATAAAATAACTTAGCTGCAATTTCACGTTAATATAATACAAATTTAATATATTTGTAATAATATGAAAGATATATATATATATATATATATTAGTATTTCCAGTAAAGTTTTGTCTAAAATATGGAAGTACAATACTTTTAGTATCGGTCTATATGGTTGTTTTTTTTACATCGTTTATAGTTTAACACACGATGTTCCTTTGAACATTCACGAAACAAAACGGAAAAGCCTTCGTCAAGTTGAAACACTAACCACGCTCTCGGCTATTTTCTTTTTCGTGAAATAAGTTTCCTCGGCGAATCTAATGAGAATATACCACGCGCGAGCGTGCTTTCATAATTTCATAAGTTATTCCGTTTGTGTATGCTCTTAAGAGAAGGGTAGACGCGTTCACCGGCCGGAGTAAGTCTGTATTCCGTAACGTTGTGCAAACTTAATTTTTGTCACACTATTTCCCTGCAAAATGAGAAATATTTATTTTGTCTGTTTATATTCGCCGAGGAATACATTTCTACGTATTCTAAACAGGGCAATTTAAATTAAAATTGCTAAAACAAAATTTCTTCCTAAGTTTTTATTAACGTGCTTTTATTTATATATATTTTTCTCCAAAATAAAAAGGAACATGTAATTAAAATTGTCATTCAAATATAGATGCAATTAGTACGTGACTGAAAAATTCATTTCTCTATTCAATTGTTTATAGCAAGGATGTAACCTGCATATTTAGTGATACCTACATGTAATATCAGAATGTTTAATTACTTGAATACACTCACACTCACACATATTATACGTATTCCACTAATATCTGAAATAATTTTTTGTCGGTAGAAAGAAATCTCGCATACGAGCAAATTGTATTTCATAATTTCAATTTATATTAATAATATCCGTACTTATAAACTTACTCGTTGTTTGTCCATTTATAATTGTTGAAAGTGATGCATATTCTTCGTCTAGACGAGTTTTCGAGGGAATCTTTTATCTGTCTAAACTTGTCGCGATAGTGGGCGAAAGTGAAAGTTTATTTCTGTATAGGATATAGGGGGTTGAAAAAAAGAAAGAAAGTAGAAAGTTGCGTCCAGGTAAAAAAGAATAGTAAAAAAAAGTGATGTTTTGGGTGTGCTATCTATCCTAAAGATCCATCCTATAATTCGTATTTTCGTCGTGGGGCGGCTATTCATTCTCGGAAGACGGATGGCCCATCGAATGCGTTGTTCTGTGCACACCAATATTGCCTTTAAAAAAAGGCCTCTACTTTTTTACTATTTTCACGACGTTTCCTTTTTATCCCGCGCGTGTTCCATTTTAACGGCATTTTTATGAAAATCTAACTGAAAAGAACTTTCTAAACACGATTTTCATTCTATTCTGAATGTTTTTTAAACGTTTAAGTTTTTTACGAAAATCTCTTTTAAATCTCTTCAACATGTTCTACGATCATTTTTTGATCTATTTTATTAAAAAAAAAAAAAATGTGAGTAAGAGAAATAATGCGTTCATTGTATAGAAATCCCATTGCTAAAGTAACTATCCTCGAAAAATCCTAGAAAGTTATAGAGCGGATATTCCAAAGCCGTTAGTCGATTGTCTCGAAAATAATTCTGTCGACTAGAAGGTACATTGTATTTAAATCTTACATTCTTATCCCACTCTTCGTACTAATGTCTAAATATACAATAGTCAATGAAAGAGAATTATTTATTTACTCGTGTTCTCGTGAACTCAACATTTCCCAATTTTCGGATCATCGAACATTCGGATAAATTATAAAATAACTTTTTGTCGATACACACACTAGAGATCAAAGTTTAATGTATAAATTCATAGTAATTTGGATTCTTTTCAAACTCTTTATTTGAAAATCGAATTGTAAAATCTTTGTTCTTGTTGTAAAATCAGTCGTAACGTTGCAATGTTGCTGCCGCGGGTCTTGAAAATCGAGATTTGTTCGAGAGCAACATTCTTCTTAATCTTCTTCCTTTTTCGGATTGCACGGCCAACTTCTCGCATAAATTCTCCCCTCGACCATTCGTAATATTACCCGCGGAACGATTCCTCGATTAACTTCGTGGATTGCAGTGTAATTGTACGGGTCGTTCGAGCTCAATTAAATAACGCTTCGAGGACGATATTTATTTAAAACAGCCGAGAGTGTTATTTATTTAATTGACGACATCAAATTCGCAAATATACTAAGCGTTACATTCCGAGTTATCCGGCTTTATCTCGTACGGTTATATAATTAAATCGTTCGACGCTATTAAAGTTCCATTTGGTTGGTTATAAAAGGCTCCGATGATTGAGACATTGATTCTGTAATTGAAACTTTATATCGCCATTGACTTTCTACCTGCATCCGCGAAGGTGTTAAGAATTTTTCGTAGTAATTGTTCTAAGTTGACATTTATTTTTTAAACCTTAGCTTATATATATATTTTTTTGTTATAAATATCTAACAATGTATAACATTTATATTCCAAATTTGTAAGTAGGATCATGTGTATTATAATATAAATTTATTTAATTTCAGTGTACTCTCTTTTGTGTATCATTTTTTTTCGTCTCCTAAAATAGAAGAACGTAAATAAATGTTTCTTCGCTTTTTTTTTCTTCCGAGTAACACAATTGAAAAATACGAGTTTAATAAAAACGAACCTTTGTTCGTAAACATGAAAACGCAATTAACATGAATAAACCTAGAAGTTAAAGAAAAACATTGTTTTAATATGCGCATTAATATAAATTTAATATGTGCCATTGAAAAGTGTAAAAATAAATGAAATCTTTTATCGCATCAACTTAATCGGATATAAAAAAAGCATTTGAATTACAAAATATAATACTGGACTTAAAAGTGCATAAAATCGATTTGATACAGTAAATAAAACTTTAACGAGATTTGCTTTTAATCAGACTATTCAAATTTGTATAGTGTGTTAAATATAATATGGTGATCCGTATCCATAGTATGACACTGCCATCTAACGGAATTAACGATCTTTGGTATAGTTATGGCTGCTTCACCCTCACAAGTTTGTGGGCGTGGTTAAGGCGGAGACGAAGGAAAATGACTATTTTGTTGCATTAATTCGATATTTAATTTTATCCTTCTACAAACAATATTGTTACTTTTATTCAATAATTCTCATTAAAATTATATATTCGATAAATTTCCAGTATAATTTGAATTTCATTAATATAAGGATCTAAAGAAGATTTTCAAAGCATTTGCTTTGATGTAATACTCCGCGGGCACTACTTTTCTTTGCTAAATTGGACTGTACCAGATGGCAGCATCGGTCAGCCCTATATCAGCATTTATGAGAACGCTCTACTTTACCGACTCTCGATGGGTAAGCACAAATTTACGAAAGCGCTCTACCCACTAAGTTCGACAATCGAGGTTGTTAGTTCGATGATCTTCCGTAATGCGCATTGTACTTTGTTTTTATCGACGTGGTAATATAAAAACTATGAGGGACTAAAATGCATGTGAAAGAAAGCTTACACTAAATCTTAAATCTTATTCCCGCTACTATCTATAACGAAAATGTTATAAAAGAAGAGGTGACATTTTTATTAGAAACAAAGGATCGCCAGAATGTGATTTTATTGCCCAATAAAACGTAATTTCCATGGATCGATGAAACACTCCGGTCGTTTATTTCTCACTCTCTATCTCTCTGACATAGATGTTCGTCAAACAGTGGGACAAGCTCTTTATTGGTTGTAAAGGAAGACATTTTACGATCCATAAAAACATTTATAGCGCTAGAGTCGTCTTACTTCGGTTGTAACACCCCCCTCCCACCCAGTTATATCCATTACCCCTTCCGTGGCCTTTCCAAGGGCGGCCACTGGCACGCGCGCTCTCTTGCCTTGCCTGCCTTTGAGATTTACAGGTTACGCTCCCGGTAACACCTCGTAAACTTGGTTTAACGACTTTAACCGGGCCTAACAGCTTCCTTCCTGCAATCAGACCCTGACCTACCTTTTATACGCGTTCTAGAAAAATCTTGAGCCAACTGTCATGTTTCTTTCATCGATCTAACCCTCATCATTATTTCTCGACTAAATTTATGACCTATAAAACGTTAAATTTTATCGATAATGTTTGACTATCAATTTCTTTTACAATAAACAGACTCTTATTCAAATGGTTATTGTGCTCGTAATTTATAAATGTGTTTGTGCAAGATTCTTATCTTATTTATTATTTTAAAATGAGTAATTAAACTTTGCCGATTGTTTTCTATCATGTTTCTTTGAAGAAGAATGAGCTTCTGAAGAATCTAAATGAAAAGTCTTATTGCTGTAGAGCGTATTAAATCCACCTATACAATAGGAGGCTTGTAACTCTTGAACGTGCGCTACCGGCTCAGAGAATACGGTTCTTTGCTTTATGATTTGTTTTGATTACACTTCATTACCATTTTACGCCTTTCGCTGGCAGCGTAACGGCCTGGCAATAAGTCTTCTTCGTTGATTCTATCGCGACGTTTATGGCCATCATTATTAGCTGATACCACTTGAACTCTCGTAAAGTCTACGCCTGTGCGCGATCTGGCTCGTCTGGGACGCTCATCCACTTGCACGTTAGTGGCATCAGTAGAGGGGATAAATTGGAAGGGATAACCACGAAGACGAATAAGAGAGGGGAGACTTACGAGTTGACCGATTGTCCGCTAGATTGCGTTCTTATGACTCGGCCATATTTATATATATATGATGGACTTGATGCACTTTTTTATCTTTGTTAATATAATAAAAATAATTTACTTTTTTTCTAATAATAATTACTTTAAAAAATTTTTTTTATAACTTAATCTTCAATAATAGTTTATTTTATTGAACGAAAATAACCAATAAACACTAATTAATTATATTAAATTTAGTAATAATAATTTATGTCTTCTATATACACG